AAAGTTGTCTGCACCCACGCATGACAAGATTGAACTTAATATGAAGATTTGATTTAATTCACCGCTTTCCGTCGGATCATAGGTTTGAAGTACTAATATGAAATTGGAAACTATTTTATTATAATTAATTAAGATTAAATTTGTTATTAAATAATTAATTAATATTAATTTTAAAAAATTAAATCAACTAAATTAATTCAAAACTCATGTGAATAAATCATAAATCTATCTTTTTAATTTAAAATTTAAAATAATTTCATCTAAATTCACTCGGTCCAACGTGGTTGCTAGGTTTGGTTGCACCAAAGTAAGGGTACAAATGGAATGTAAACTTCACAAATTAATACAACAATGATCGTGAGTTTTTCCATGGCTACTAAATATGGCATTTTCTAGTTCCACCTCTTCTAAGTTTAAGCTAGTTTTCTCCTTCTTTTTTTTTTTCTTTTTTTTTTGAACGGCTATAACTTTTGGAGAGGTTAAAACTTCAATTTGATCGTTTTATTTTAATAAAAAAATGTTTTATCTCTTTATTTAAGAAATGTTTTTAATCCTTAAAATTTATTTTTTGATAATTTTTTAATCTATTTATTATTTTTTTACATATATAATGCATTATATAATAAAATTTTCAAAATAAAGAAACTAAAAAACATCTTTTTTTTATCCTATTACTTTAAAAAAGTTTTTTAAATCTTTATTATCTAATACATCACACATACAAAAATATAATGGAGGGATTAAAAAAGAATTGGGTAATAAAATTAAGGGTTAAAAAGAGATTTTCTTAAATAAAAGGATTAAAAAGGATTTTTTTTTTTGTTAAAGTAGAGGGATCAAAATAGAGTTTTAACCCTTCTGCAGAGAGACTAGTTGTTGAACCCTGCTCGGGGGATGAGGTGCACTTGCAAATTGCAATTGGACCACCAGGGCCAAGTGGCCTAATTTTAAAGTTGGTTAGAGGTAGCTCTCCTAACAAATCAAATAAAGGAAACAAAAACCAAGAAGAGTTAAAAACAGAAAGTAGAGTTAGATTAATTATAAAAAATAATATAATTATAATGTTTCACCAAACTTATAAATATAAATGTCATTATATAATTGATTATTTTTATTTAATGAATTACACATGGTGTTATATGATTGTAAATTTATAAATTTATTTAATATTATAACTATATTGTTGCATATTAATTATTTCCTAAAATTTAACTTTTTTTTAAAAGAAAATATTACCATATATCATATGAATATATGATAGACTATCTTTGCTTAACATTACATTTTAATTTTGTACCCAAAAATTTAAAAATGGTGCGTCGTTTCCTTTTTAGCAAATATTATACAAACTAAACTATCTTTGGTGGACTCCTTTGGAAGGAAACGTATATTTCCTCTAATGGTTAATTATGGCAGAAAAAAAAAAAAAAAGGAGAAAAGGTTCAAAATGGTTTAATTTTTAATGTGAGCATGCAGACCCTGTACACACAAAACAGGAAGGAGAAGCTGGAGCTTCTCAAGGGACTGACCCTCGGGCGCACTGAAAATGCAAACCTTGTTCCACTTGAACAGGTACGTAATTATGTACACTCTCATCTTCAATCTTGACTCTTTTAAAATTATATATTTTGAAGAGTTTATTGTTTTATTATTTAAATTGTACTAAACTGTAAAATAATAATCATTAGATAAAAAACAATTTTAATATTAGAAAATCCACTATCATCTAATACAATGTGATACAATTCAGATTACATAATATTTTTTTTGTACATTGAATGCACTATAAATGTTAAAAATTTAAATTTGAAACTTCTTAAAATTTGATGATGAATTAATAAAGTAAGTTTTTATTAATGCTGAATACATTTTGACTCTTCAGGATGTACTGATAGTATGGGGGGAACAAGACCAGATATTTCCCCTGAAGCTGGCTTTTGAATTAAAGGAGTATGTATTCCCCAGCATAGATATTTACATATCAATTACTTTCCTTATCTTACCCTATGCATTTTATTTTTCTACATGTGAATTAATCTAAATTAATCAATATTAAAATCAATATGCAAACTTGCATTCATCAATGTTCTTCTTTTTTTCCTTTTTTTTTTTTGTGGTTTCAGGCTTCTTGGGGAGAAAGCAAGAGTGGAGGTGCTCAAAAAGACGTCGCATGTGCCACAGGTTGAGGACTCAGGACGTTTCAACGAAATTGTTAATGAGTTCTTACGTGGATCTTCATGATGATTAATTACTTCGTATTTCATTCCCTTTAATTAAACAGATTTAGTCTTTGGTAATAAGTTATGAGCAGTTTGGAATTTCACTAATTTGGTGTTTGTAGCCATTTTGAAAAGCTTTTATTATGTTTGGTGCATACATATTAAGATTCGAACTTAAACATATGATTAATAGTATAAATAATTTTACTATCTGATTATATGATGGATGTTTTCAATTTTATTTTTTTAACATGGTGATTTTTCTAGGTACATGTATATCTGGTGGGGGTTGGTGGGTAGGAAAGAAATTCTTAAAAGACGGTTTTACATATTGAAATCAAAATTTATAATGGTCTTAGAGCATGACAAAGTGATAAATTGGCATGTCTTTTATATTAATTATTGCATAGCCTAATCTACTTGCTTGTCCCGTTAATTTGATGCTATTACGTAATCGATCTTTTTAATAAACATATGTACTAATTGTAAAATTTTAATAAAAATAGTGTGTGGATGAACTCGGCTTCGGCAAATATCCCATGCAAGGAGTTGAGCTTTATTTTTTAATTTATTTTGGATGGGGGAGTTGAGCCTTTTTTTGTTATCCAATTGCTACAAATTGTGCCTCGTCCCAAAAGATCAACAGTCTCACAAGGGCACCTACCCTACAAATTATATAAAGTTCAATTTTTTCCATCTCCTTTTTTCATCTTATTTATGATAATGGCGTTCCTATTGCACCTCTATTCTCCTACTCCAACTTAAATGACTTTTCATTTAATTTCTCAACTGCTATAATTTTGAGTGCATTGGACAAATTACGCCCAATAAAGATTGATGCTTGAGTGAAAACATTTAAAGATCAATCAATTATGTTGCTAACAGCCCAAGTGGCTTGTAGGGGGCACCATCAAGCAACCCTGGGTTCAATGCCCCCACCCTCACAAATTTATATCTTTTTTTTTTAAGTCAAAGATATATTACAATTATATTTTACAATGAGAGAGAATCTTTCCATTCTTTAACAATTCACATGTTAATACCATATTGCTTAAAATTAAATTTGAAAAGAAATTACGTTGAATTTTAAATTTTTAAATAAAAGTTTAAAGTACATAACTCTATCATCAAACCACATGACTAATGGTGTTTTGATTAAAAAGTTTAAATAATTTTAAGTGAATGTATAAAGATTCCATCTAAATTAAATGAGAGTTTTTCCTAACTTGTAGTTATTGTATTTTTTTATTATAATTAAGGATTTTCTCATATGTACTCTAATATATTAATTAAAGGTACATTTAATATATATTTTTTATATTATTTAATATAAAAAATAAAAATTGATATGAGAATATCCTTATAATTTAGTAGTTACCTTTCTTATGTTAATTTGATGATGTGGGATTCGAAATTCCACCCCACGTTCAAAATAAATAAATAAATAAAAATTGATATTAATGTTAATATGTTCAATTAAATTTATCTAAGTAACAACAATGTTGAAATCAGTGTTAATTTTAAGGTGAATAAATAAATGCAATAAATGCCTCTATAAATTGTATTTTTAAAATACATTTTAGAAAAAAAAATCTTACTTTTAATTAATATGAAAACAACAGAAACTACTATTAATTTTAATAATTGTTTAATTAAATTCATCTAAATACTAAAATTAATGTTAATTTTTATTTTTAATTTAACACAATAAAAACATTTTTAACATGTACATTTTAAAAAAATCCAATTAATAAAATTCTCTTAATTTTTATTTATTTTTTCCATTCCCACATTTCTCTTTGGTCGAGAAAAAAAATTATAGATTAAATGATTTCTTTGGCCCATGGTTATTACTACTAATATTATTGTTATAGCTATTAAATTTATAAAATATCATCTTTCAAAATATTAATTTTATTCAATTTAATTAATAAAAATGATTAATTATTATATTTAATAATTAATAATTAATAAAATAATTAATATTTATTCAATAATAAGTTCAAATAAATTAATTCTAATATTTTTAAGTAATATTTAAAAATAAAAAATTAAAATTTTAATGTTATTAACAATTTTAACGGTCACAATGACCACAGCCGTTTCTTTCGCAATTTAACACTTTTCTACCCTGAACAAAAATTCTTCCCCAAGTACGTCCATTTCTCCGGTCAAATGTTCAGCAACACTTTCTTCCACACAAGGAAGTGGAAAACATAGAAAAAGCGCAAGACAGAGACAGACAGACAGACGAAGAAGAAAGAGCAGAGAGTCCCGTCCGTCCACTCCAGTCCAACCGCGTACGTCTACATTCGATTCTCCCAAGAACTAAAACAAAAGAACTCCAATATTATATACAATTTCAAACAGTAATCCTTACAAAATTTTATATTATATTACCTTTACAGGGCAGGTTTCTTTACTCATCTTTCTAACTTTGACTGAAGGTAGAAGCCATTGCCTCTGCAGTCTGCACCAGCTTAGCTTTCGGCGCCCTCTTTCTTCCTTCTCTTTTCCTCTTTCCAGATTGGCTACACTAACACCATTCAATTTTTTAATCTTTATACCCATGTAAACACACACACGATTGAGTTTTCAACCCATATACTTTGCAATTTCATATTATACACACACCGAACAAGACTCGCAAAGTGACTGCTCTTTCTTTCGGCTCAGGCTCTGTGTTTTTTTGCCTAATTACTCAAATCTAGCGACACCCTTTTGCTCCATTAAGCTCTGGAAGGTTTTCTTGTTCCTCTTCAGGTAACCCACCTCCAGTTTTTTTTTCTTTTTTTTCTGGGGCTTAAATTTCTAGTTTTTCTTTTAGATCTTTACTTTCTCTAATAATCTTATGTAACTGGGATTTTGTTTGGAGATCTCTTTGCTACTTTCATGGTCCAAGATCTGGATGGTTTTCTTAATTCTTATACTCTGTTAATTAATAAGTGTATTCTTCTGTTATGGCTTCTGGGTTTTGATTATATTATACTCTTGTCTTAGTGCCTTGATTCTACTATTTTTCTTTTTTATTTGAATGATATATTTTTTGGCAAAGAAAATGAGAATGCCCAGATTTAAAATACTGTTGCATATTGTTTTAATAATTGATGCAAAAAATTTGGGGGGTTTTGAAGTTCAGTGTCTAGGTTATTACTTTAAAAAGGTCGATTATTATTGGTTTTTTCTTTTTTAATATTTATTTATTTATTTGGAGTTAGAATAATGCACTATTAAATTTGCTGTGGGTATATTTAAGTGTTAGCAATGCCGTACGGTTGTGGGCATTAATGAAAAATTCGTTTTTATACAATTTTGCTTTCTGCTCAGGTCCACTTGAATACATTATGGGAGAATATAATAGAGGAAAGTAAGGGTTGATAAAAAATCATACTGTGGACCTTGATTCATGCATCTTCTATGCTGTCTATTATTATAAAAAAAATATGGGCTTACTCTGCAGCAGAAACCGCCGTTACAATGAAGCAGATGTTGAGGAGAATGCACAGGTGAACTACTGTTGGCATTGATATTCTATGCCCTTATACCGAGTAATGCATAGTGAACTGTCTATGTATCATGTTATTTAAACAATACTTGACCTTCTGTCTAATGTTGTTGTGTGAATTTGCAGGCTGAAGAGATTGAAAGGCGAATAGAACAAGAAACCAAGGCAGAAAAACACATTCAAAAACTTCTACTCCTTGGTGTGTGGATGTTAGATTTTTCTTTGCTACCATAATTGACTGCATATCATAAGTTCTAGCATTTTATGTTTCCTTTGCCTGGCTTCAATCTTCTTATGCCTGTGGTGGTGCTCTTGTCAACTTTGTTTTTCCCCTTTTGGGGTGGCACTATATTTGATATGGATTTGCTTTTTATTGTTAAGGTTCTGGAGAGTCTGGGAAGTCAACAATTTTTAAGCAGGTAAGACATGATGATTGCCCTGCTTTCAAGTTTTGTTGTCATTTAAAACCAAATTGTTGATATATATTCTGTTTATTGTACCACAACTTATTTGCAGATTAAGCTTCTTTTTCAAACTGGCTTTGATGAGGCAGAGCTGAAGAGTTATATCTCAGTCATCCATGCCAATGTCTATCAGTCTATAAAAGTATGCAAAACTTGAAAAGGGTGTGTTTGTTGTTTCCCTTTTTGCATAATAGTGGTGTCCAGTGTCAGTATGTTTAATTAAAAGTTAAAAAACTGTTAGTTTTTGTTCTGCAAGGCTCTGTAATCCATGCATATGAATTGTGGTTGATATGGTGCAACAGATACTATGCGATGGGTCAAAGGAATTTGCTCAAAATGAAACAGATTCTTCAAAATATGCTCTATCCAGTGAAAATAAGGTCCGAGTTCCTCATTTCATTTTCTGCTGTATTTCCTTTACAGGGTAAAATACATATGTTCTACATTGTTTTACTTGCTTTTCTTCTTTGAGATAATGTAGATTTTCTCAATATTTTTGGTATTTAAAATGATTTGAATTGGATAATGTTTCTGTACTATATCAGGAAATTGGAGAGAAACTATCAGAAATTGGGGGCTGGTTGGAATATCCCCACCTCACTAAAGAACTTGCACAGGACATAGAAACTTTGTGGAACGATGCTGCTATTCAGGTAGTTGTTACTTTATAGATGAGTAGATGGCAAATGCTGGTTTTCCTGCAACTCTCACTACTTATCAGCTATGTATATATTGATTAATTTCAAATGAAGCATCTAAGTATTTACTGACTCCATACTTGTAGGAAACATATGCCCGTGGTAATGAACTTCAAGTTCCAGATTGTGCCCTTTATTTCATGGAAAATTTGGAAAGATTATCAGATGGAAATTATATTCCAACAAAGGTACCAACAATCGTTTATACTAAGAATGCTAGTGTTATTAATAAAAGAAAAAAAAAATTCCGAGGGTTTTATATTTTACAGAAGAAATTTGGTGTCAACATACACCCCCCCCAGTTTTGAGATTAACTTCTCAGATTGCAACTCAACATCTCAGTGAAATCCTCTAAAAATTTTTCAAGAGAAGTTTATCAGAAAATGACTTTGTCCATCAGTTTCTTAGTCCTTTTCCTTACTGCAGGATGATGTTCTTTATGCCAGAGTCCGTACAACTGGTGTGGTAGAAATCCAGTTCAGGTGAATGTTTCTCGCTATAAAATTTTCAGTGTTTTCAGTCATGCTTTCTAGGAATGTTCCCTTTCCTCTTGACCTGCAACACACTTAACATAAGAAATAAGTTAGCCTTATAAGTTGACCTTTAATTATGTGGACTTTTAATTATGCTAAGAAGCAGGTATCAGAAAGTACTTGTGGTTGTGTGTGTTCTCAAATCCATCTTGAAGTACCTTGTGCGCTCTTCAGATATTTGAACCAACTCTTTTTTTTAAAAATAATTTACATTATCTTTGCACATTTCATTAAAGCAACTTCAACAATGGAGGGAGCATGTCATTTGTTTGTAATTACTTTGCTTGAGTTCATTAGTGACTTGGTGTTGGCTATGATCTTGGCAGTCCTGTTGGAGAGAGTAAGAAGAGTGGTGAAGTATACAGACTCTTTGATGTTGGAGGCCAGAGAAATGAGAGAAGGAAATGGATCCATCTTTTTGAAGGTGTTACAGCTGTAATTTTTTGTGTTGCCATTAGCGAGTAAGTAAGGTGACCATTGCTTTTGTCATTAGTCATAACATGGTCATATGTAACTATTTGGAAGTTGATATTGGTTTACAGTAACATTACAACCTTTTGCTTTTGGTGCCTTATTACACTTTCTCTAGGAGGGAGAATCTAAGATTCAAATCTCCTCTTCCAATTGCCTCCCAGATAAACTAAAAGGAATAAGCTTCCCCTTTTGTCTGATATGCCCAACTCTTATTTGATTATTAATGTTGTTTCATGATGTAACTAAAACTTTTACTGGTGAATTTGGTTTCTCAGTTATGATCAAACTCTCTTTGAGGATGAACACAAGAACCGGATGATGGAGACCAAAGAACTTTTTGATTGGGTCTTGAAGCAACCATGTTTTGAGGTTTTCTTTTGTGCCCTCCTGAATCTGTGTATTTCTGTGGGCATGGACTTGTGCTAGAATAGTTTACCTGTGTTTTAAGACATCAGCAATTTCCATTTAGATTGATATGGTTTCTTTTTGATGCAGAAAACGTCCTTCATGCTGTTCCTAAACAAGTTTGATATATTTGAAAAGAAAGTTCTTAAAGTAAGGCCAACAGAACAGTATACATTTAGTAGCTGTCAAAACTTGTCAATCTAGATTGTTGATAGTCTAGTACTCTCTGCAGGTGCCATTGAATGTATGTGAGTGGTTCAAAGATTACCAGCCAGTTTCGACCGGAAAACAAGAGATTGAACATGCATATGAGTAAGCAATTTATCATTTATCCTACTTCAGGAGGGAAATCCTTTATCACATATGATCATTTCACATTCTTTTTCCATTCAGGTTTGTGAAGAAGAAATTCGAGGAGCTGTATTTTCAGAGCACCACCCCCGACCATGTGGACCGGGTCTTCAAGGTCTACAGAACCACTGCCCTAGACCAGAAGCTTGTGAAGAAAACTTTCAAGCTTGTAGACGAGACCTTGAGACGAAGAAATCTATTCGAAGCTGGCTTGTTGTGACCGCAGCAACACCTTCATGTTCATAACACGATTTTTTGAACTTTCTGGAGTCAGTTAGGAACACCCCATCCAATGATTGCTGGCATATCTTCTTCTCATCACAGACCAAATTTTTAGTTTTCTTCCATTTGTTGCTCAATTATCACTGTTAAAAAAATCAATTTTTTGTACCCACGATTCTGGTGACTAATTTCTCTAGACAAAAGTATCTTTGTCATCTGGGAACATGTTTTCTTGTTTGTTTTGGTTTCATTAGTAATTGGCAGCAAATCAAACACATGAAAGTACTTTGTGTTCTTTTTATCATACTAAAACAGCTTATTGATTATAATTTCTTTGTTCTGACCAATTATTCCACCTGAAGTTTCTTTGAATTTAAAGAAAAACTTAAGAAAGGTGGGAGTTATGTTTTTTTTCTTATGTTCAATTTCTTTTCATTTTGAATCCCACAATGGGAAATTATTTTATTTTATTTTTTAATATTTTTATTTATGTCATGTAAATTAAATTTAAAATCTTCTATTTTTATTTAAAAGATATTAATACTAAACTAGTTGGATTAATAATTTTTTTTATGTACATTTTCTGTTAGTAAAAAAGTGGAAATTAAAATATTTTGATAATAAAACATAAATATTTTGTGTAGTATAAATTGCACAAAATTAAATTTATAAAAAATGGTTTAATGGTTAATGGTTCAAGATTTTAAAT